GAATATTTTTCACAAAATTCGAACTAACTTAGTGGGCAACACTACCTATTATTACCCTCTCTCCCGAAACTAGCTTGGCTCTACTGGGCGGCGTAGCCTCCTTAGGGCCACATAAATTTAGACCTCACCACAAACGAACGCGATGGTTTGTATCACAACATATAATTGCATGATGTAAAATGGTATATTAGCGATACCGATCTCGAGATACTATCCATACGCCAATACCGCTTAAGCCAGTCACTAGTGGGATACGTAGTTTTCGTGATTGAGCCCAGTCCGGTGGAGGGGGGGGGCCAACCTATCACCAAATATCACTCGACTTCCGGTAGAGTGCAAACCGAGGTTTACGTGGTCCCCCACTCATCCATGATGTTCATGTCCGCAAAGTTCTTCCCGCAACGTCTGGTGCATGGTAAAGGCAAATTCTTGGCAGCCTTACACGGGGAAGATTGCGGGGGCATTTACGGGGGGGAAACAAAAAAATGAAAAATGGGAATACCTTTTAGGGGATTTGGTTCGCCTCTTGGAAGGCTCTAGATGCGAGTGGGCCGGTGCTGCACGCTACTATACGGTCCAACACGGTTCAGTGCGGTACGATAACTTGTGGCCAATTGACACGGTTAGGCAGGCCAGTATGATAATATTATGATAGAAAATAGCCCCCGAGATATGCAAGAGGAGGAGGAGGAGGAGGAGGAGGGGAGGGGGGGGGGGTTGCAAAGGGCGTACCGGGGAGGAAAGGAAACCAGATTTAGGTTTTTTGGATGAATAATTAAGCCTCAGGATTACGGTTAAGGGTATCGTGGGTCCGAATTGGCTCTGCGTCAGCCTCATCCTTGAGCGAGAAATCCTCATATAATAATGCTATCATATCCCACATATATGATACCAACCCAGATCTTTAGGCCAGTTGCCCAACCATCCCCCAATATCTGTAGGTTTACCATCCGAAATCCACTTGTTGTGATATAAGAAAGTTTGATTAATCAGTGCTTTCTGTGACAGGGCTCCTATGGCAAAAGCGGCCATTACCCGGCATAGGAATTTATATTGTACGGGAGCACGGGATGCCGCTTTCCGGCATTATCTTACTACCGGTAGCTGGAATTTACGGTACGGCGACAGCGGTACCGATACGGTAACGTACCGTATTATTCGAACCAAACTTGGAAGTAATGTGGACCCCTGGACATCAATATTCATTGTTGTGTACCGCCACAGTACTCGTACTATTGGCATTGGAATAATATTACAAGTATATACAGTAATGTTTTGCGCAAGCTGTTAGCCAGCCCTCCGTGCCAGAATTTACTGCAAGGGAAAGGAGAGCGCGTGGAGGGCATCTGGGAGACATCTTCTCTCTAACAAGCCTAAGGCGTTGCCCACGTAAACCAGTGCAGATGCGGCCAGGCTCCGCTTCGGCCACAATTACTCGGACACCTCGCTCGTGTTCCTCAACTCGGTAGAGGTTGTTTGTATAATAGCCAGACGGAATCCAAAACATGCGCGATTACCGGTATACTGTACAGTATCTCCAAAGATATCTTGAAACTCAGCCCCGAAAAAAGAGAGATTATAAAAATTTAGCATGTCTGAAGTATGATATATACCTGTTTCAGGGTTTTATCTGGAGTTCGTCCAGAGTTGTGGGTGAACTGGGTATGATACTGTACCGGTAGGTTAAGGTTTGTTGCAACGTACTGTACTCGGGTATGATACGGTAATTTAAGTTTCCCGCGCTCGAGCACGAAAACACTAGTCTTGGCGGGTACCTTGAGGGAAAGAACATTCCACACCCCACCACGGCACTCGGGGAGAATGTATGGAAAAAAAATCTCTCCACTCCTTTATCTGAGTGCCATTGGGGCAAATTACCTTTTGAATATTTTTCCGCATAGTTTCTGCCGGTGGTGGTTGGGGAATGACAGCTCGAAACACATTGATTTTGGTGTGTTTGGGCCCTGCCTAGTTACTAAGCGACTTCTTTTGCTCTCGAGTGGGGGTATGGGATAGCCTGACTAGTTTGAATGATTTGGTTCTGATGGAGTCCTACCATCATACCGACGGTTAGAATTGGCCTGGTCGGGGTGATCGGAGAGGAGTCCTAACGCAAAGGCTCTGTCCTCATCGTCGTGGGAGTGTCGATATTTCGTCACGGAAGGAGCAACCTTCCAGCATTCCTCACGATATCGGCGGGCCTTCACCGCGCGGTGGAAGGGCTGGATTTAATCTACTTGTGCAATATGGCGTTAGCCGTTATTTTGGCGACGGAAGTCCGTGGGTTTCGCTCGGGGGAATCAGGCGCACAGAGGGATCGGTGGATGGGTTGGATTGGGAAACTGGATTTTTGCTCTTTGAACAGGATTCGTGCTGCCCATATTCAATACTCGAACAGACTAACCACCGGGCCTGCTGCATCCGGCTGTTTTTGTTTTTCGCCTTGGGCAGATTATCGTGATGGAATCCGAGGATCCTGTCTCTTGAATAGTGTAGGTATTATACTCGGCTATAACAGTACTAGTACATAATTTCGAATTCGGCTCTAGGGCGGCTACGCGACGACCTTGCTAGCATCATACCTCCTCGACAAAGTGTTCGATTCCAGTACGCGCAGCTCTATCTCGTGAAAAGCTAAGGTGGCACATTTGAAATGACGAAAACTGAGTTGGGGTTGACAGGCTGCATAAAGTGCAAGAGCGGGCGGGAGTGCAATGAAGTTCCCCAACTTTCGGGTTGCCTCAGGGAGTGAGTGCTGCATTGGAGACGGAAAGCCTCCCCCGGAAGAAGCTGAATCACCCAGAAAAACGCACCTGGCCAGAATTCGATATAAACGGGATGCTATGTTCCGCGTTTCACAAATTACGGGCGTCAAGGCGCATACTTGTATCGCCAGGAATCTACTTGTATGAGGACGAATGACCCTGCGAGACGGACTCGTGCCGGAGTCAATTCGTCCTCAATTTCAACGGAACTCTATCATCTGTTGATGTTCACCTCAAGGACTCCTCTCTTCAGTGGCCTGCATGCGGTCCCTCCGTACGGGCGGTGACCCCACCGAGCCCTCGGCGGTGAAACCAGATTCGCGTGTAGCGCTGCAGGGCCCGGGAACTGTTTATTTCCTGAGAAACAGAAACGGGGGCAGGGTTAGCACGAGCCAGCGCCAGGATGAGGATGTTCTGATTCCAAGTAAGACAGCAGGGACCAGGGTTGTTGCCTTGCATGCCGAGTCAATGCCGAGAATGGGTCCCTCTGGGGATGAATTGACCGTCTCCACTTCTAGGAGTTCTCGTGAAGGCACGAGTACCGGTACTCGAGTGGGTTCGATGTCGGCGGAGGAGAGAGAGCAAAGGAAAGGAGAAAAAAAAAGAAACCTCATTTTTTCTTTCTAATTTTTTTGGGCAGTCCCGGACACTTTCCTATTTTACAGAAGGTGTGGCCGCTTACTCGAGTACTCGAGTACATGCGAGGGGGATCGCAAAGAGGACCAACGATCGATCGCCATACGGTACTCGTGCACAAGACTGTGTGAAGAGCGTCTGGCGCTCCCGGAAGGTGCTGTTGCCATACTGGTACCACACTCACGTCGCTCAAAACCAATCCGAAATTGCAGTCTCTCTGGCCACTCTGGTGACGTGTCTTTCGATGGAAAAAAACATTCACGGACTCACATGATGGCGATTGAGCTCGGCTTCGGTTCTCTTTAGGGAATCTCCAAGAGGAGTTGTTCGGGTCCATTGGGGAAAGGAGGGAGGGATATAGCCAACCTGTAGGAATAAGTCGCCGGCTATAGCAGGTCGCGCTGAGAGCGCACCCGAATAAGTTGTGATCAGTAAATTATCTGGCTCTGTGCCCTGCGCTGGGGGCAAGCAGAGCACAGTTCTGGAGTACGGTATTGTGGGCTAAATGTATCATGTATGCAATGTTTGTCCGTTTGTCTGTGTGTGTGGGTGGGTGTGTGGGTGTGATGTGTGATGTGCATGGCGTGGACACTCCCCCCCCTCAGTTGCGATTGATATTTTTTTGATGGTTGTTCAATGAGAATTGAGTCTAAAATTCTTGCCATGTTTACTGCAGAAAGATCGCTGGCTCGCGAGGACATCTTATCGTCAGTTAATTCATGAAGATGGCCCCATAAAATGGCTAGTTTTGCGATATCACAAAAGACGGGTGGGATGCAAGAGATAAACCGGTATCGTAAATTCCTTCCTCTCGGTGCAGATACTGTATTTTGTATCATCGGTATCGGTGCCCAAAGTTACACTCACAAGTACCGTACCATGCCCGGGTGCTCGAGTACGGTACTCGTACAGTACCGGTACACAGACAAGGTTTTTTCCCTCCTCCCTGTACCGGTATGGGGAGGGAAGCGCAAAGTGTGGCTTCTCTGGCTCCACAACCCCAGCCAGCCCCCCACCCCCCCTGCAAGGAAGGTCCCCGGCTAACCTGCTTCCTCAATGTCCAACACAGAACCACCACACCGTCTGCAAAAAATAAAAATAAACCCCCACCGCTTCTCCTCTGCTTGCCCTCCTCCTCCCCAATCTTCCTCCCCCATCCTCCACCGCTTCCATCCTGAACACAACATTCACCTCCTGATTTGTCCCCCATCCGTTGCTTTCCCTTTACACTCTCATACAGTAGAGAGCCCGCATATTTCATTTTGCTACTCGCAATCGGTAAGTCTGTGTGCTGGCTCACTTCTCCATGCCCATTCCCCTCATCTCTGAAGTCGGGGTTCTACTCGATGATTGTCTAAATGCACTGCTCCTTCCTTCGTTTATCTGGTTCAAGACGCACTAACCGGATCATGCAGAGGGTAGTAAGCGGGAGTCGAGACATCTTTCCACCGTCACGAAGGTTACGAGAGAAACGAAACGAAACTTTTATTTGGTCTGCTTGCGCGAGAATTAACTATCAAGGAGAAATTCCACCTTTCCCCCCATCGCCCAGCCTCCCTTTGACCTCTGCTCCTCATACCATTCTCTCTTGCTGATATCATGAGCTCTACGGCCGATTCTGAACGTCCTGCTGCCGTTAGTGAAGAGGCATGTGACCAAATGTTTACCTGCGTCCTCTTGATTTTTGACTTATCCCAACCGTTTTTCTGGGCTACTGTTTGCTGACCAAAGGGTTAACAGCCCCTTCTTGACCATATCACCACAGATCCTCCCGAAGATTCTTATCCGGACTCAGAGAGTCCCGCGAAGCTAAAGAATGCCAAGAATATCGGCACGACAACCCCTGAGGTTGAGGGTGAGGACAACGGCCCTGTGACAGCTGTCGAGGATTATCCCTCCACTCCTGTCTCGACAATGGATTCTTCATTTCAACCTCTACCTTTGACGGGGGAGAGTAAGGAGGATTCAATACCGTTATCTCCTGCCCCCGAAGAGCCTGAATTTGGGGCTGGTAAGGAAGCAGGAGCCGCGGGCCTCCCTTCTCCCATTGAAGCCGAAGAGAAGCAATTGGATGGTGCTGAGGAGCCCAAAGTTGAGGTTTTGGAAGACTCGGATAAAGCCGGGAACGAGGCGGATTCAATACTCATGGAGGGGAGAGAAGTCGTCGAGGCTGATGAGAAGGTCGGGGTTCCGGAATCATCGGAAACAGAACAGGGATCGTCTGGGGATAAAGCGGTTGACCCGGAAGCTGAGGATAAGAGCTTGGAAACTCCAGTGGAAATGGTAGAGGAGGGATCTACCTCGGAGGCCGCAGTCCCGGAACTAGATGCTCTTGAGGAGGGGCCTTCAGAAGCCGCCCTGAAGGCGAATCAAGAGGGGCCGGCTGCTGTTGATGAAACACCGACCGCATTGGATGCTTCTGACCTCGGTACCGAGGTGTTGAAGACTGCCGAGCCTGTTGAGGAAAATGATGACGAATCCAGAGATACTCCAGCAGCCGAAGAGGCTGAGAGTGTTGCCGAGAAGCTGTCATCAGAGATAGCTAACACCGAACACCAAGATACTACTGGGCCTCAGACTATCCAGGACTCCGAACTTACTGTTGACGAGCCTAAGGCTGGAGAGGCTGCGTACGAAAGTGGTGAAGATGACAAGGTTCAACAGGAGCACGAGGCCGAGGAAATAGAGCATTCAGAGGCCACGGAACCAGCTATGGGCCGCACGGTTCCGAACACCGAGGCTGCCCGACACACTCACGATGCAGTTATGGAGGTAGTGGGTGAGAAGCGCGAAGATGAGGAAGTTGAGCCTGGGGCTGAGAAGACGGATACTACAATTGGCGATCATGAGTCCAGGCCAGAGTTAGAGGCGGATTCGGTAGCGGAGACGGACTCTGTGCCATGCCCCAACGAGACTTCTGTTGTTGTGGAAGGGTCTAAGATTGCCCAGCCGAGGGCCGAGGATTCGGAAGCTAAAGATGCTCCTGAGCTGGTTGCACCATCCGGAGCTGAAGGGATCGAAGCAGAGGTAAGACTCGATTTCTCGGTTTTGGCTGTTTTGATTATTTTACGAATAATGACCTTAGCCCAAGACAACCGAGACTACGGAAGCCGAGCCGCCAACCCCGGACGTTTCAATTTTTTCAACTGGCGGTGAAGATACACCCAACTCCCAGCCTGCTACGGAATCAACTGGGGATGCTAAGGAAGGTCCGAGAGTAGGTACTGATCTTTGATACATTTGATTTTTGTGCTAATCTTAAACTTAGTCGGAGACTGACGAGCTCTTTGAGGTGAAACCACAGGCTCCGGGAGTCTTGCCCGTGACTGAGCCTTTAAGGGATGGAGACGAGTTTCTTCCTGTCGAAGCCGGCACGGAGACAGGGGGCGAACACACGGAGGGACCCAAGGACGGTGTGAGGGTGGAAGCAGAATATGAAGTCGAAGAGGAACCTGAGGTAGGAATTACTTCAAGGTAACACAGTCCGTATTCTAACGATTTTTCTAGTTTGAGGCTGCCGAAGTATCTGAGCCTGTCGACGTAGAACCCGCAGTCCCAAATTATCTACCACTCACTGAAGCTCCAAAAGAGGGAGAAGTTCCCACTGTTGATGTCGATACTAATCCTAGGCCTGTGCCGGCCGGGGAAGACGAAAAAGGAGTTCCCGGGCCTGGGCTGCTAGTAGAGGGTCTGGCTCGGACCGCCGAGGAAACTGTAGGTTCAGCTTTGGAGGAACCAAAAGCACAGGAAGGAGCCGGAGCGCCGCCAGATGACGGCCCTATCCAGGAGTTGAAGGAGCCTGTTGCCACAGAGCCGGAGGTGCTGGCGGTTCCTGGAGAGACAAAAGAGCTACAAAGCGCATCCGAGTTTACAGAGCAATCGGTTGAGAGGGTCGAGGAGGTGGGCCCAGAGCCAGGTATCCCGAAAGATAATGAACAGGGGACACAAGGGTCGGTACAAGCTACTCCCATATCGGATATGGTATATATAAATCTCTATTTCTAGTTGCTGTTTAGTTAATCGTCGTCAACTAACTTTACCAATAGACCAAACCAGAGGAATCTGAGCTCGGGCCTACTGATACGGAGAACCCGCCTGTAGCAGATGTTGAAGACGCGGTACCAGTGGAAACTCACGAAGGCAGCGATGTATCTACTGTCCTGAAGACCGAGGACATATCCGCAGATGCTGGCCCCGAGGCATCTATCGAGGGGAGTGGGGGAACTACCAAAACCGAGCCCGTGGCCAACGGAGAGGGTGGGGATCTTGCACAGGATGAACCTATTGTTGTTAGTCACGGCGATGCTCCCCCAGACGAAGTTGAGAGAGCAGAGGCTGCGGTTGATTACCCCAAGCCAGATCCTCAAGATGAAGTAGCCGAGGCGCCAAGCGAGATCGAAGTTGAGAAGGATGGCAAACCACCTGTTTCGCCAGTGCAAGCGCAGATGGAGCCTGAAGGGATAAAGGAGGTGGCAGAGATAGCCGCGGGATCATCCTCATTGAACGAACCCCAATCCTTTGAAAGCCCTGGCGATATTGCTCCTGAGCGAGCTCCCACTCCCAAAGTTGCTGAGGAAGAGAACCTGGAGGAATCCGAGACTGAGGGGTTGGGGGCTGTGGCGCTCGGAGGGGTGAACGATAAGGCTAAGGAACCGACATCGTCCAAGGAACCAGAGGAGACCCCTATTGCTCAGGAGATTTCTCATCCGGTAGGACCTGTTGGGGAAACACATGAAGAAAGTGTGGGGGGCTCTTCTGTTGATTCCGGTATCAAATTGGATCAGGGTTTTCATGAGGGCGTTGTTACTTCTGACCTCACAATTCCGGAAAAATCTTTGGAAACTCTGCTGCTGGCTGGAGAAGGTGTTACGCCGGCTGTGCAGCCGGGAGCCTCGAAGGAGTCTCAACCCGGGGAGCAAATGTTTTCTGTCAGCCCCTTGCCCGATTCAAAGACCTTCGGCAATCCCATCGATCTCCAACCTGGAGAACCAATCCCAGTATGTTTAACTGAAGCTTCTGTGGCTGATAATGTTAAAATAGATGAGGAGATTTTCAAGAAGTTCGACGACAAGACGGCAAAGGCTGAAGAGCCTAATGACGGCTCCGGTGAGAAAATACTTGCTGCGGGTGCAGGGGCTGGTCTTGTGGGATTGGGCGCCTATGCGGCGGTTAAGTACTCCGATGACAAGACGAAAGCTGGTAAACATAATTCAGAAAACGCTTCCTCTATTCCCGGTAAGTACTTGGATCGCACACTTCCCAAGTTTGGTTTTTTTTTTAACAAATTGGTGCCAGCTTCCCCTTCGGATTCTAAGGCTGGAGATGATGGATCGCCGGCTGTAGATGTATCAGCCAAGTCCATCCCTTCAACAGCCCAGGAGCAGGTTCTTCCTGTTGAAGTTTCGTTCCCTTCCCCGGCCATTGCGAAGGAATTGAGTGAGTCCCCTGTTGTTTCAAAGACAGAGGTTGAGCCTGCCCGTCCGGTGGGAAAATCGACGGAGGAAATAACCAAGCCTGCTGGTGCGGAAGTGCTGGGCGAAAATCCCTTACAGGCCTCCGCGACCGACATCCCTAATGAATCTACAGTCAACCAACCGGTTGGGAAATCAGTCTCTCATAACGGCGATGAAGTCACTGCTGAGCCTGCCCCTAAGAATGCCCTATCGCCTGTTCACGGTGTTATGGCTTTAGAGGAACATATTCCGGAAGTCTTGAAGGATACGGAGACATCAGAGACCCCGGCGATTGTGGTGTCAGCTCCGCCCAACCCAGCCACTGGATCTAGTACCGCAGAAGTCATTCAGCCTAGCTCCTCAGAGGTTGTGTTTGATGAAGCGTCGGCGAAGAAGGCTCGGGAATCAGGTGAGATCTTTGCTCACCCGGTGTGGAATGAGTCCGTTAGCCCTCTCTTACAATATTCATTAGAAAACACCCCCGAAGGTGTCCGCAGACGCAGAGCCCCCGGATCCGGAGGCGAGGTATCCCGTCCTACTAGCAGTGGCACCGACAACGTCTCTACTAGACATCACAGAAATATCATGAATGGATTCTGGCATGTGGTCCTCTTCGGGTGGCTTGGGGGGTTTGGAAGATTTTTTGGTGGGATTTTTTCGAAGTCAAAATCGAGGAAACAACGCAGGTAGAGACAGGTAACAATCGTAGGGGGTTGCTGGGCCGTCGGAAGTAGTGGCAAACGGTAATGACTGGATGACTGATAGTTTTCATTTCCTTTTTCTTTTTTACTTTTCGAAACCTTTCATTCTACTTATTATCTTCCATCCCCGGTGAACTTGTTTGGTGTACTTTACCTTGCTGTCTTTTTTTCTTTGGAGGGCGGTTTACTAAGCCAATTCTTGTTTCCCTTTCTTACATTTTCCTGTTTTATTTTATTTTTGTTTTATCTATTCTGTCACTCGCCTTGGTGGTGTACACCTTACACTCTATTTTGCACTCGAGATTGTTGGCAGCGCACATTGTGGCAGTCAAATCATTATTTCCAGGCATATTCGCATTGGCGGAAGCGGGGACATGAGTGGAGCGAATGGGGGGGTTCAATTCTTGTCGATTCCTTCTTTCCCTCGGGACGATTGAATTATTCTTACTGGGGGGTTTTTTTATTCAGCTAGTACCTTCGTTGTTTTTGACGATTTTCTCCTGACGTTAATGATATCAACTTCCATGGCCGCCTTACTCGTTTGGTGGCTAATTGTTTAATTGAGTTCTAGAGAGTTGTCCCGCCTCTAGGCACTGCAGTGTCTATAGTGCTTACCGGGCTTACATATTGAGCCTGTGCAATTTTCTGGACGAGGAGCACGGCGGGAAGCCCCGCGAGCCTACAATGGTTTGTTGACGTGCTGTGTATTACCGTATCATATCGTATCGTAAATTTAAATCTGGGCACTGCGCGTGCCTTATTCGCAGTGGCTGTCCACTCACTGCCGTACAAAAAGCGTGGAAAAACTCGATAGTGCGTCCACCTTGGTTGGCCAATCCACAACAACCCGGATACAGTAGCGAACCGTACTGGTGACTGAGGGCAGCGTGCGCAGTGTCATGCCTCGACAAGGTAACTACCGCACTACCTGGCGTAAAGGGTTAAGCTCTCATATTGGCGAATGAGCGGCAGGCGAATCTCGTAGCATAATGCGGTACCGGTATTCTAATTTACCATGGGGTTCGGTAGCTGTGGCACTGGTAGCGGTAGGCCTCCGTGGGCCACGGGAGCTGCACCGATTTGGAAGGAGTCGACACGGGACCATACGATAGGCGCGATATCCAGCTTAGCATGGTATCATAGTGCCTTAGCCAACAGAATTTCACCCGAAGAAAACACTAATCTATCCATCCTAACTAAGGTTTGGGGGGGTACTGATAAATTTTACTCGCAGGATAATGTTGTACTGTACCTAGGACAACTGAAATTAGTAGTAATTATCCTAGGCGATAGGTGGTTTTTTCTTTTCTTTTGGGGGAAAGATCGTTATAATGAGTACGGTAATTCATTAGATATGATAGCTGTGATGTAAAGCCCTCCCCTCCGGCATACCGATATTATGAGAGCTCAATCTGGAGCCTCACCTCGTTCCCGGGGTAGGTTTGTTACGTCAGCCGGGAGCACTCCCGACAGAACACAGGTCAATGACCCCTATAGCTGGCAGAGCTATGATGGTATTGACGGGAGCTGGGGCTAGGTGCACGTGCGTTATAAGGTTGCAAGGCTGCTTGACCGCCCCTCACTCTCTTATTCCACCCTTCCGTCTGGTTCTCCGATACGTGGTCGTTATTACTTTATCCGCTGTTCTGCCGTCCTGTGCCTGCACGCAGCGAGATGTCCATGGGGTAATTGGGATGTGCGCGTGTATTCATACATACTGTACATCTGACCGACCGTTTACTCCCCCCCCCCCGTTCAGCTGCTGAGAAGAATGATTGGGGATGTGCCGGGGTTTCTGGACGGTTGTTGATTTGCTGGCAGTGTACTGTACTGCAGCCTAAATGGCCGGCTGTGCAAGAGCAGCATTGGGGACAAGAGGAGAATATTATAGGTAGTGATCAACCTGCAGTTCGAGAGTCATGACATACCAGAGGCGAGTTTTCCTTGGACTATCGTGTTCGTTGGAATATACCCTGCCACCGCCCTCAAGCACTGCTTAACGCCAGGCGCCCGAAAAAAAAAAGAGGTATTGATAACTGGTGAATAAATTACCTATGGTAGTATCCACAGGTGGAGGGAAAGAAGCTTTTTATTGGAGCTAGTCGAACTATATATCAGAAGTATCCTCAATTCGAGGGTACCGTCCGTAAGTCGTTTTTGCATGGTCGGTCGCATAGGTTGCCGTGTAGTGGTCTCTGGGAGGATTGTGGCGGTTGGGGAACTGGGCGGGATGCGGGGGAAAAGGTCCTGTTGGGTAGTGGGACATGATAAATAATTGTGCATGAATGATGCTGTGTTTGAGCACCGGTAACGGTACAGTATACTCTAAGTGTTGAAATGAGGAGCGTTTACCGGATCCACTGGAAATGGAGTGCGCTCCATTGGTTGATGGATATTGTGGGTTACCGTATCATGTTTGGGTGAGGTTTGAGAGGTCGATGTTTCTTATGGTCTGGAGCTTGCCAAGCATTGGCGGACCGGTTCGCCTGATTTCTGGAGATTGGAGCTAACACCCTGCCTGGGCACTTACGCCGTGGTACTGTAGGGAGCTTGAGTTTGTGTTTAGGTTAGGTCTTCACACCGGGCACTGTATAGTGCGGTATTGGAGCACGCAGGGGCGCTAGACATTGACCCGGGAAGTTAATTCACCTGCGGGAAACTTCCGGGCAATTGATCGGGGATCGACTTGTGGGGCTAGGGGTCTACAATGTTACTGGTATATGATTCCCAGAATCCAGCCGGTTAGGGGGGTTGTGTTGTACCGTACGGTACTTCGCAGGCCCTCTCCCACTGACACCTCATCGATGGGATGTTTATAAGCTATGAGTGCAATCGCACGTGCGTCTTCGGCTCTCTGCGTTACCCCGGATGTCTTACCCCCGAAAGAGCCAAAGCAATTGATATTCTGAAGGGTACTATCTCAAGAATATGGAGTTGGAGAAACTGAAGGGCACTTTGAGAACTCATGACCAGAGCCTTGTTTCATGGGCAGGAATAAGGCTTCGATTCAGCAATACGTGCCTGTGATGGGTTGTTTTTGAGTCATAGGGGGGCTGGGATGCGCGGGGCGCACATACCTTCCTGAGTTTGTTGTGGTTACGATGGGCCCGATTTTAGGGAAAGAGAGACTGCTGTTCGCTTTATATTCTTGCGACGTTGAATTTTGAACTACAGTATTGTGCAAGTCCTGCGTCGAGTGGAGATAAGCTATTTACTGGGAGGATCTTGCGCTATGTGTTCGAGTACTGTGCTGTACTGTAGACAGCTAGGGCGCGGAGGGTGTATGCAGGCCTGGCAAGGTGTGTCGCGTAATACATTCGGATACAGTGAGCCTGTATGGGTAGCCAGATACACACAGGTTTTTTTTTTTTTTGCAAGATCCTTTCCCGATCACTGCTCTCGGATACTTCTTGGCTGCTGCGCTTGCTCTGAAATGCTACGCCCCTAGGTCGGCTTCGGTGGTTGGAGCTTCTTCAGTTGTCGGCGACAGCTGTCTACTGGAGCACGTGGAGAATTACCATAGGAGGGTGGTAGTTTAGACAGGGGGAAGCTTGGTAAAATTCCAATTGGGGTACTGGACAAATTCAATGATTTGGCCAAAGTTTATCTTGCTTTTGCTGATATCCCAACATGGTTTCTAGAGCCGACGCGAAAGCTCGAGTTTCACTTTCCTGCGAACCCTCGAGCTCTGCCAATCACTCGCTCTTCATCTTGGCCTCACCCCCTGCCCCTCCTCCGGAGTCCAAAAGTGTGCTAGAAGCAAACGAGGGAGAGATACTGCGTTAGAAATACTTTCCACACTACAAAGCGACCTACTTGAGTGGTTCCAGCGCAAAGAAAGCCCCCGTACTTCGGTGTGATGTTGGTATCGAGAGCCATTGTTCGCCCCTTCGCTGGCAAGGCTATCTCTGAAGACATTTTTGTTCGTGTAACATACCGGGGGCTTTGCTGGAGGTCTGTGTCTCACTAGTGGGGCGGACGTAGCCGTTATGCAACGGCTTATGCACCGTATGGATCTATTAAAATTGGGGCGCTTACTTGGCAGAAGGGGAAAAAAAGCAAGAGAGTGAAAAGAAGCTGGAGTGATTCGGTGTCTTCCCTTCCTTAATCCCTCAATCGAGTGTCGGTACGCTCTTGCATAGTTAGGTGGATTTTGCGCTTATCAAGTTAGTGGTGATACCGGTAGTGTTCAGGAATAACTTGCGGTATTCTCGATGAAATGCTGCAGTTTTTGCGATGCGATTGCGGTAGGGGATCTGAACCTCGGTTTTGGGTACTTTATCTACTCGAGTACCGGTACGTGATGATTATAATATAATAAACTAGGGTAGTACTGTACTTCTGACAGCCTGATATTTCCATGGGCTGTGCGGTGGGAATTGGTGCCTTGGAGGCGCCAGTTACGGGTTTGTCCCATTTGTTGCACGGGTCCTTTGGTTCTCTTGTCGGGCGCAGCCAACATGGACTGTGCTGTACAGTGCAGGTGTGGACAAATATATGGGGCGGGTTGTAGGTGGGGGATGCCGGAGATCTGCGCCGCTTGACGCTGGATATCTGGGGAGTGGTAGCCTGCAAAGCTTTGCTGTGAAAATTGTGATACTTAATTATGGGCATTCGCACTCTAGTTCTACGTAGTCATATACTCTTCGGTCGCGTGAAGGCATATCTCGTGAAAGTTCACCATGCCCTTTCCTCTAGGCTCTCCCAGAAGGGCATTTGCGGGTAGGCCGGTCTTGTTACAACTGATTTGGTGTCTCTATTAACATATTGTACTGAAGTTCAATCTCAGGACGAACAACTTGAGCGACCAAAGCAGCTTATCGGCCTCTCAGAACTAGACACCGGGGGGAAAGCATTTCGATATCTCGATTTCGCAGAAGGTGGAGCAAACGCCGCCCTCAACAAATGGGGCCAATTTTTGCAGTTTAGTAGGTTAGTTACAGGGGGTGGTGACCCTAGTAGTTGGAATTATGTCTCGGTGGAGCCGCGAAATATCTTCCGACTCGAACATATCGCACCGGCGCAGACATCATGCGAAAAAGAACAGGGGGAGGACGACGATGAGGAAGTGAGGGAGAGAGCTTCAGAAAGTGAAAGGAGAGCCCAAGGCTGGGAGCCGGATAACCCGGAATGGAAGCCCAGTGTATACTACTATAGCGATTACCCTGCGTATCCGCGAAGACACGATAAATTTAATGCACTTTGCATGCGGAATCGGGGACTTGGTCTTAGGTTCTCAGATAATACTGAGATGTCGGAGCCCGAACACTACTACAGGAACGACAGATGGCCGGAGATATGCTATATAGTTGAGAGGAAAGTCAAGGTTGTCGTGCGGCATTATATCCAGGATGGCGAGATTATTCAAGACATGTGCTTGACTTCAGAATCTGACGAGGAAACCGAGCTCAATCTGGAATTCGAGTTCACTACTGGAGTCCGAATAGCCCCTGGAAACATGAGCCAACTAAAGGAGGGGAACGTGGGTATTCCCGACCATTTTCTGCAGCGGGTGTCAGAGGGAGAAGCTCCGGGGTCCCACTGGAAGATCCGACACGGCGATTATTACGCGACAGCAAGCTTATTCAAAGATGGTGAACCGAAGCCCTTTAGCCTCCTGGTGGACGGCGAACAGGGAAACAAGGTTGAATGTCGCATTGACATTCTTTCGGACGAGACACTAAGACATCGCGAGACTTTCGTATTGAAATCGAAGGCAAGCGTGAAATTTACCTCCATATTCAGATTGGATCACGAAAGCGTTCCCGTTACCCTGCCACACTATTTCGATATATCTCCTCGTTTAGAATCATTTGATGGCCGGTGGTGGAGTTTCAGGACTGAATCCTCGTCGTTTATTTTCAGACGGAATCTTGAGACCATACTCTCCCATGCTATACCGCTTCCTCGGGTCAAAGACGAATGCTATCAACCCTATGTATTGCACGACCATGACCTAATCAATACATTTCAGACATGGAGTAGTTCTTTGTAAGCGGCCAAAAGCACACCTCTTATTAATCGACTTGTAAAGAGCCTAACAAGGTGCAGAAACCAAGCTTTTTACCTCCTCGAAATCGATAAGATACTGCAACAACCGGGTACGGCGGACGGGGAAACGAAGTCGCATTACCGAAAGAGGATTCGAAACGTAATTTTCGGATACTTTGTTTGGCTACTACGACATGCCGAGCGAAACGGGTTTCCAGAGACTATTCTTTTACATTGGTCTGGGAAGTTTGTACTTCCCGCGAAGGGGGATGAGAATGGTGATGTCGTAATAGAGGTAACCAAAGCGGCCGAAGAGCCCCCTTGTCCCCGCCCTATGAGCTCTTTCGAGCCAAAGCTATCTAAGTACGAAGATAAGTTCAGGAATTGTTGCCAATTCCTTGTTTTGTTGGATATGTGCTCGACCAACTACCCGGATGAAGTGATTATGTTCACTCGAATGGTGAATGGTTTCCTAAAGCTAGCTTGGGAGCCGATCGAGATGAGCAAGCATCGAGGATCTCATCTATGGCCAGATCGGTTAGATATCCTGGAGGGGTTCCCATCGTCGTATGCGCGATTCCAGGACTGGCGAGATTATGAGAATTGTGGCTATGGTGGACAGGGTATCTATGTCTATGTTATCACGACGCAAGTGCTTGTCTGGCGGGCCGTTAAATCTGCGAAGAGGCTACTCAACCTGGTTTCCGACGACCAGGACTGGAGTGAATGGATGATTGGCCAAAGTTTAGACGACAAGGAAATTAGAGATCGGACAATAGAGGCATTCCGCTGCCTTGGCACCGGCACAAGTCATGATTATTCCCCAGACCGTTTTTTCGCAAAAATCAAAGGACATATTAGGGAATCCTTTCTGGATCAATGGAGTTGCGATATCGCCATTCCCTCATTTGTGGAGGATTTCTTCTTCGACGACAAGAATGAGCCAATGCCTGCTTGGACAGAGACACTCAGATACTACGATACTTTCAGCGACTGTGCCGGGACACAAATGCCGAACACCTGGGAATACTTTATGCGCTACCAGTTCACGATTGACAGGGATCGCCGTGAGGCGTTACGTGAGAATTTTGAGGCAAGAGCTTACGCAGTGGGGCTTTTTACTAATGGCGCAGTTACCCATAGTTCTCATTGCCCTTACACCACATCTTGGGCAATGGTCACATATGCTCTCAGTGCGGATCATACTGAATTGCTGTATCCTAAATTCAGGGTTCCAATGTAAGCTAAACCACCTGGCTACGTGACGAATGATTATAGGGTTTTTAACCACGAACTAATGTTTTCAACTAAAGAAATATGGATTATAATCCCCGTGCCAACTGGGCACAGGGGCCCATGCTCCTGCAGGAAGGCATAATGGACGCCGGTATTAACCCTGGCACAACAATTGGTGTTGGTGCTCGTCAGGATGGAAGAAAGCCAGGAAAGAAGGGGAAGGGTGTCGACATCACCGCCGAGGACCGTAGTCAGGTGAACGATCCACCGTGTAAGTGGTTTTGAGGCACCCTAGGGATGTTATATTTGTTCTGATCGAAGCAGCGTATGGCGACTGGTACTGGTTCAGAGAGCCTCTCTTTATGAAGTACAAGGCGAAGAAGTTCGAAATGAATAAGGGATACATAGAAAAGTTTCTGAAACCGGAAGATAATTGGGGTTATTTTTGGGAAACTAGTAAGGGGAAAGACAAATTTTTGAAAAATATGGTGGATACGCCGAACTATGACTGGGGAAATAAAAACACCTTGGTCAAACCATATCGAAATGGAGAGTTTGGTTTCTTTCAGGGGAATGAGGCATTGCTCAAGTTGCAGGAACCGGTATGAGAACCAATCACTCACACCCCTTCCAGTAGCGATATCGAGTTACTGACGGGTTAGGAACAGAGGGATCCCCAAATGGATAAAAAAAGAATATTGTTTGTACCAATCTATCTACCTTCGCCTACCTTTTGTATGCAGGCCGGGAAACCAGCTAATAGTGTGATATAGAGTCATGGAGGATTGCAAGATCGAACATCTAATCACCCTAATGGCCAGCATAGATTTTCAAGAAGCCGGCCATATAGGTGAATTTCTCTCCCGGTTTCGCCTCATGGATCCTCACGAGATGAGATTTTTAGAACAGGTATCTCAGCCCCTGCCCCCTCCACCAAACTCACTTATAGTGCCTAAAATCTTTGAAGACAATCATGCCAGACAATCTCTGGATTACAGAATTCAATATAAATTTCATCACCGCCCCATTTCTGGTTGATGTGGAGTCGCCCCTCCCGCCAAACTACTTTTCGAAGAAACGTGCGAGGATCCAGAGTATCAACGACATTGAGCCAACCCGCATGATGGCCGAATCGGCCATGGGTTTCCGCATTATCGGTGACCTGCACGACCGGTACTGGACATGCTATGTATTTTACGACTTTGGAAGCGAAAAACTCGTCTCGGATGCTAGGACTGAAGTGGAACGGAGTGATTATACTCGCTCTTCGAGTCAAAGAAAGTATCTTGAGGGGTTTCTTGTGCGCCAGGCTCTCGATCTGGTACTCTCGGAGACCGAGGCTGTCCTCCGTATTATCACTAAGTCTATGGGGGGAGACAAGGTGGGTTTGCTGATAGAAAAAGTGCCAACGGTGTTATACATTTGCTGATGGATTGCTTGTTTAAAGGAAAAAACACAAACACTTTTCAGTCCACTGCTCACGGAGGATGACCTCAGTGGGGAGAACTACTTCAAAACCATGAACAAGAATAGTGTATTCTATCCCTGGCTGCTTGAAGTTTACGGCGCTCTGCGGGATAAATGCACTGAGAGCCGTAACGTTGCGGACTTATGGATGTCAGCAGAAAAGACACGAAAGTACAAGCCTCGGTGGTCCGAAAAGGACCAAAAAGGCTTTGGGGAAGAGGTTGCGAAGAATCGAATCGAGGTGAAGGCGCGTTGTATTAAACTGGAGAAAACGGCGAAGAATTTACAGGAGCGGATCGACCGGATCAAGACTCTCAAGGAATCTGTGAGCATCCCTCCACGGCTTGATGGTAGTGTTGCGTGGGAAGAGGTGTGCTGACGATGAGATTAGCTGTCGAGCGAGCTAGGGCTTCGAGAAGCGAGAACTTCGACACAACTCGCACACACGGTGAACCTTTTTGCTGTCGTTACAACTATTTATTTGCCTTTAACGTTCTCTACCGTACGTCTCTGCCCCCCCCTCTCGTAAGCCGACGGTAAGAAATATTGAACTGGGGCCTATAGAGTATCGTGGCTATACAAGACTTTCATTGGCCATCTCCTGCGAAAGCTCTCATCAAAGTCACCCTCGCCGTCACCTTCGGCACCCTGATCCTCCTGATGAATCTCGCCTTCCTCCGCCGCAGACTTGCAACCCTGAAAACCTGGGCCCAAGGCTTGATACGCCAGAGGATGGCCAGGGTCCCCGAGTCCAAAGGCCATAGCGAGGAGCTCGTCTTCCAAGAAAAGCGCCCAGCGTGGAAATACTGGAACGACCGTGCCCGCGGCCTCCGTGAAGCGGAAAAACGCAGCACGCTGCTCACGGACAATGCCATTCATGAAAATGAGAGTGACTGGTGGTACTGGTTCTTTATGGCGATATTCATCATTATCGTGGTTCCCGTACAAGAGCTGGCCTTCATAATCCGCACGTTCCGGCTGCAGAGGATCAAGGGTGCTGGTCCCTTGAAGAAATTGGTGAGGGTTCCCTGGGCCCCCATATGGATTCTGCAATTGGCGCTTGTGTACGTGATTATTCTCGCCGGTTATGCCCTCCTCTTTTTGGTGGGATTGGTGCATCGCGCGGCTGTCTGGTTGTGGACCGGAGACGACATCCCCGAGAGAGAAGAGGCCGCGCCGGAGGTGGATGAGACGAGTTTGATGTCTGAGCCGGAGGGGGATGAGAAGATTTCGTGCCCTGGGTCGGATAGCATGCGGGGAGATGGGGGACTGGTAGGCTGGCTGAAGAAGCCGGCGAGGACTATGCAGCTCCTCATTGTTGCAGAGGCGCTCTCGTCCAAGAAGGAGAAAAAGGGGGAGGAAATGGATGTGGAAAGGCAGGGGACTGCTCCGTAGGCTACTCCCATCCTTCGCTCTGAATGGGAAAGGATTGATTGCGCTCTATTTTTGGACGCTGGGCGACGGGTGATTCGTTTCTCCCCGCTCGGGCCGCCACGTTTTTTCTCTTTTGGTGCTCATTTTGTTCTCGGGGGGGTTTCAAGGTGGAAGCGAGTGATGCCATATGATCTAAGTTGTACTTCTGATTGATGATTCGTTATTTTCTCGTTTTCCCCAAACTTCTGTTTTCATACTGTCTACTCACTAGTCCCATATATACACTCATTCAATCATGGATCAAAATTATTGAAAATGCGAGATAGCGGCTATCACAGCGCTATATTAGAGAGAAAAAAAGCCAATCATACAAGACTGATCCTTACTAAAAGAGTCGTCTGGCGCAGTGGCGTTTAGGTGGAAAATCACTCAAATTGCCCTTTCCGAAACTGCTATTACAGCGGTGTGTGTTTCCAGGCACCCTAGGTAAATTGGGGGAATTGAGTGAAAAAAATGGGGGAAAAGATTTGGCACTGGTTAATGCAAGCCCCCCCGTTACGTTAAATCCCAAGCGAGTGAATAGTAGATGGTGACTCCTAGCAAAAAAGAAGAATACCCGCTTCCGCATGCTTCAAAATGGTCAATGTTTACCCGTGGATCCGGTTGGCATCTATGCCCCTGCCGTCTTCCGCAGTATTTCAACTCGGTTCAGGGAAATGTCCCCCCCAGGAAAGTACCCAAGGTAATCGCAAGCGCGTTGTGCTTTCGTTTTCGTTTGGTATTGCACTGTGCACTTGTCCGAGTGAGATCAGGCGCTATCTGGTTGCCACGCGGGGCCTTCAAAATGCCCTGGATGTTGTGAGAAAGTGTACACTGGCTGGAGAAACCGATTATGACAAGTTGTGTCCGGGATTGCAAGAACCTCGACACTGCCCGGAGTGGGATTATCCGCCTCAAGTGAGAGGATGCAATACCTCCGGACTTGGGAAGGGGTGTGAGAAAGTAAGATCAGAAACATCTTTGTCTTGTTCGTCTCTCTCTCTCTCTCTCCCTCATCTGACGGTAAAGACAGATGTATATGTGGAGCAGAATCAAGAACTTCTTGTCCTTTCATAGGTCTCCACGCATATCTTCCTTCCTCTATTATAGTTCCTATTTCTCCGTACACTCCCGTGATAACAGAGGGAGGGCGTGTCTGGATAGACCTCTCCATAGGCCACCGAACCTTCGGAAAAATCCACATCCATACTAAATAATCTGCCGTTTCTCCTATAACTTCCAGGGTTATCCACAGCATCCTATCATTCTTCTATGACCGCTAGCAATAGCATGGGACGAAATGAGAATGGACTTTATGGGATGGGGTTATGATGGATAGGCTTGGTGGGCTTCAGTAGTGAGGGATAGGTGGATATGGTCACAGTTTCTTTTAGGGTAGGCCAGGGAAGGTTGCGAGTGCAGTACTCGTACAGTACTGTAATAGCCGGTTCCCCTCCTATTTCGCTCCGCTCATAGTCGGGGAAAGCAAGTGCAACGGGAAAGTAAGCGTGACGCAACTTTTGGTGTTTTTTTTTTCAGCGTGATAGTTGGTGATACCATAGAATTATGAAAATTTAACATGGTATGTATAACACTGGTTATTAACTATGTTCTCCTGAAAATAATAGAGGAAGACAAAAAATACTAGTTGCATATTTTCATTGAGAAATAAATAGATAGCATAAACTTATCTTATTTTAATCAAAGTACACAATCCAGTTTTCCTTTTAATTCGAGCTCATTTGTAGTGCCATCCATAGTGGCTTGCTGTAGGGTGTGAATATGTTGTGAAAGTCAAAATAAGGGAGAAAGTACCACAGCAAGTGTTGGGAGAGAATATGGTTAATAACCAGTGTTATACATATGATACCTCTTTGGAGTAACGATACTGAATTACTGACCGTTTTAAAACAGCGGGATCGCCAAGTGGATCAAAAAGGATATTATCTGTATCCACCTATCTACCTTCACATGACTAGTGTGCAAACTGGAACTCTGTCTGACAGTGCGAGCTAGAGTCATGAAGGACTGCGCGGTCGAGCATCTAGTTACTCTAATAGCAAGCATTGATTTTCAAGAAGCCGGCCATACAGATGAATTTCTGGCCCGACTACGCCTCATGGACCCTCGCGAGATGAGATTTGCAGAGCAGGTGCGCCAATCAGCCTACTCCTACAAAATTCCCTTATAGTGCCTCACATACTTGAAGCCAATCATGCCAGACAATCTCTGGATCACAAAATTCGACATCAGTTTTATCACACCCCTATATCTGGTTGATTCCGAGTCGCCCCTCCCCCCCCCGCCCAACTGCTTTTCGAAGAAATATGGAAAGTTCTAGGGTATCCACCGCATTATGGCAGAGGCGGTCACCGGGTTTCGCATTATCGGTGACATGCACGACCGGTACTGGAAATGTTACATGTTTTACGACATCGGAAGCGAAAAACTCCCCTCCGGCGCTCATCTCTGTATGCCCCTCAGACATAATGGTCACTCTTTAAGTCAAAGAAAGTGTCTTGAGGGATTTCTTGTGCTCCAGGCTCTCAATCTAGTACTTTCGGAGACCGAGACGGTCCTCCATTTTATGGCTGAGTCTATGGGGATCAAGGTAAGTTTATTGGTAGGAAAATTTCTAACGGTGTTACCCATACGCTGATTAGCTATTTGTTCAAAGGGAGAATCGAAAACTCTTTTCAGCCCATTACTTAGGGAAGACGACCTTGGTGGGGAGAACTACTTTAAAACCATGAACAGGAACAGTGTGTTCTTTCTCTGGCTAATTGAAGTTTATGGTACTCTGTGGGGTAAGTGTATCGAGAGCCGTAACGTTGCGGAACAATGGATACCAGCAGAGCAGACACGAAAGTACAAGCCTCGGTGGTCCGAAAAGGACCAAAAGACCTTTGATGAAGAGGTCGCAGAATATCGAATGGAGGTGAAAGCGCGCTGTCTTAAGCTGGAGAAAATGGCCAAGAGTTTGCAGGAGCGGATTGACAGGATAAAGACTCTTAAGGACTTTGTAGACATCCTACCAAGGCTTGACAGTGCTGGGCGGGAAGTGGTGTGCTAATAATGAGATTAACTGTCAAGTGAGCTAGCGCTTCGAGAGGCAAGAACCTCAACATAACTCGCATACACGGTGAATATTTTTGCTGTTGTTACAACTATTTATTTGCCTTTAACGCCCCCCGCCGTACGTCCCTGCCTCCTCTCGCAAGGTGATGGTAAGCATATTGAGCTGGTGCCCATAGAGTGTTGTCGCTATACAAGACTTCCATTGGCCATCTCCCGCAAAGGCTCTTATCACAATCACCCTCGCCGTCGCCCTTGGCATCGTAGTGCTCCTGATGAATATCTCCTTGCTCCGCCGCAGCCTTGCAGCCCTGAAAACCTGGGCCCAATGTTCAGTCCGCCGGAGAATGGAGAAGGTCCCTAAGTCCAAAGCCATTTATAGGGGATCTGTCCTCGGGGAAAAGCACCCGGATTGGACATGCTGGAATCAGCTTGCCCACAGCCTTGACGAAGCTGAAAAGCGCACGTTTCTACCGGTCACTGCCAGTCCTGGAAGCGAGAGCGGCTGCTGGTACTGGTACTTTATGGCGATATTCATCATAATTTTGGTTCCCCTGCAAGAGCTAACCTTCATAATCCGCACATTCCACAGGAATGAGAATTCTGGTCCCTTGCAAGAGTTTATGAGGATTCCTTGGGCCCCTATATGGATCTTACAGTTGTCGCTCGTGTACGTGGTCATGCTTGTCGGGTATGAGGTCCACCTTTTGGTGGGATCGGTGTACCGCTTGGGGGTCTGGTTATGGGCTGGGAAGGGCATCGCTACGGGCAAGAAGGCCCCGCCAGGGCAGAGGTCGGAGCCCAGACCCGATAGTGCGCAAGAAGATAGAGGGTTGGTTAGCTGGTTGATGAGACCGGCGAGGGCAATGCAGTTTCTTATTGATGCCGAGGCTCTTAGGTCCAAGGGGCAGGGAGTCGATGTGGAAAGGGTAGTTAGTAGTTTGCATATTGGAGGAGTTCAGTGTCATGAATTTATCCTTGTAGGACAAGTAAGGGGCCGTTTGGCGTTACCTATTTGTGTTGCTGGCAACCATAGTTTGACTCAAACTGTGGTTCATAACCACAGTCCTGTTTGGTAGATCTGAATTTAAAACAATAGTTTGCAACTGGTGCAAACTATGGTTTCAATGTTAGTAAAATTAGGTATAGGTTTATTGAGAAAATAGAGTTAGAATATTTTTTCTTAAAAAAAAAACATACAGCAGAGCCTCGTTTAATCTCTGCTAAGACTGTAAAGTTTCTGCCTTTCAATAGAGAAACCTTTACACCATCTCCATCATACACTATGCAAACTAATTTATTCTGCTTCTAACATTCTTCTTTTTTACTTCACTCTATTACTGCAAAAACTCCTATGTCAGCTGAAAGAAATTCCTACCAGCAGCGTCCATCCAAGGCCTTCTGGTCCAAGGCTGCTGATAGAGTACTTATTGATGAAATGCTCAAGCAGTGCAGAAATGGAAAAAAGATAGATAATGGATTTAAACGAGAAGTTTGGAATGAAATTACAACCAACTTCAATAGGATCAGAGCACGAGAGGACAATCTGATTGTTGGACAAATTAAAAATTGAGTCAATGCTGTAGGTTTTACCTTCAGATTATAATACTTAATAGTTTAAAAGAAAAAGATGCTAATTTCTTATAATAGTTGAAAAAGTTATGGAAAGCTTTTAACCATCTGGTTAATAGCTCCGGCTTCGGATGGGATGAGGAAACTGGGACGGTTACAGCAGAGGAAGAAGTATGGGATACATATATTCAGGTCAGATTAATCAGAAAACTCTGTAAACCTATTTTTCACAGCTAAAGGAATTTGATATCAGGGACATCCAAACGCCTTAAACTTTTGAATCAGGGGTCTCGACAACTATAAAGATCTTGATGAAATCTTCTGTGAAACTACAGCTACAGGAAAAAATGCAACAGCAACAAATCAATTGACTTCATCCAATGAGAACATAGTTGGGGAAAGTGCTCTTTTGAACTTGATTGATCATGGTTCTACAATGTCCTCAAATTGGTAAGTTAGAATACCAAATTAATTGTTATATATACTTAATATGAAAATCTGAATACTTTACTGACATGTTATTAAATAACAAGGGATATTGCAGCAGTAAGTGATAGGGATATTGACTCCCTGAATGGAAGTGATAACGATGATTCTTTACAAGTTCTTGGTTCTCAGAGAGTTGTCCGGGAACCAGCCAGTCTTCAAACTCCCAGAACTACTGCAGCAATACCAAGAGCTTCACTATATCAGCCACGGAAGCGGAAAACAATGATGGAGGTATTTGATAATAGTGGCAAGGCTATTGCAGAAGCAAGTCGAAAGGTCACTGAGGTGATGACAGACATGGTTCAAAACAGTTTAATTGCAAAGAGGGTACATTTAGAGGAAGATCAGTTTCAGGGAAAAAGTTCAGAGGAAATGCTTATTGAACTAGATAAACCTTTGTGTGGATCTGACATTCAGCCAGAATATAGAGCTTATATCAAGGCTGCATATCAAGTTCTACAGTTGTATAAGGCTGGGAAAATTACCAAGGAGGAAATGAAAATGGCAAGAATTGGGTTAATAAAATCACCTCATGACTGCTTGACTTTTCTATTGTTTGATTGTGACCTGCAGTTAGACTGGATTCATGATCAATGTACATAAATAATGGCATGAGGTATTAAATGCCATGTACTTTAGGTAGACAATTATCTAAAGCGTCTACTTCTCATGATTTGTTGATAATCAATCCACATTGCCTCTGCAATCCTATCTCTCATCTGATCCCCCTTGATTTTTTTTTCTCTCGCCGATAGTGGAGGTTGTTCTGCTTCACATATGGCAGCCAATCTTTGAACTTGGCATTTGTCATCTGATAATGGGACACCTTGTTCTTGAATAGGGATACCTCTAAAAGCAATAAAGTTATGTAAGGTGCATAATGCTTTGAATAACTTTGCTTGTGTTATCCCATCAAAAGATCGTGAGGAGCGTAGAACTGGAAACCGACCCTTCAGCATTCCAAGAACTCTCTCAACACAGTTGCGAGCTGATGCATGGCGTAGATTAAACAGTTCCTTGGCATTCATAGGCCTGTAGTTAATAGATATATTAGCAAGTTACTTAAATCTATTATATTCCAAATGTTGAGAAATAGAACTTTTAAATTAAAATTAAGCAAGTACTTACACTTGATTTCCTACAACTTGTTCTTTCAGATGATAACGCACATTTCGATATGGTGTAAGGAATTGGTACGAGTTTCCATATCCAGCATCAGCCAAGTAGAACTTTCCCTTAGGAACATGAAATCCTTTTTCCATTGCACTACCTAGTACATGAGCATCATGTGCAGATCCCTCCCATCCTGCAACTATGAACTGAAATGTACAGTTGAAATTGCAGGCTGTTAGGCGGCAGCCAATTCTAGGTCTGACGAATTGTAACTGGGGCCAATAAGGTTTCTCGGAGAGTGGTCAAGAAAGCTTGTAACAAAAGTATGTATCAAAGTATAATGAATATATTGATAAGATCTCTTCTCCGTTCGCTGATAGTTCTGAAAGCTAAGTTAATTTTTTTTTTTTTTTTTTGTTTAACTCATTGATTATTTGTTTAGGGTCAAAAAACGTATGGAGCGCTAGCTATGACGACAAAAAACCCATATCCCTCCTCTCACCACAGGAAAAAGCCAACCCCCCAAG